GCCCGCAGCCCAGATGTGCAGCTCTTGACTGACAGGTGCGTGCATGCGTGACGCGCTCGGCCATGGAAGAATTTTTTTTTTTTTTGCCTGTGCAGCGTTTGTGTGACAGTTGAGTGGCTCTCACCGAATGCTGCTTAGTTGACGGTTTTGTGACAGGCGTACAGATGTTCCGAGACGAGTAATTATAACGCCTGAGTAATGCCCGCACAGAGCTGGCCGTACAGTTAGGAAAGCTTATCATGCTCGTGGTGAGGTTTGCATAGATATAGAATTTACACTTATTCAATTTGTCTTCCTCTTTTTGTCTCATTAAGATGCTGTTTTGAGCATCCTAATGGGGTTGAGTTCCTTTCTATGCAGTATCAATGCCCTGAATGTGAACATATTATTTTACTATATATATTGTTATAATATACACTACTACTATTCAAAGGTTTGAGGTCAGTAAGATAAAAAAAAAAAAAAAAAAAACTTTTATTCAAAAAGAATGCATTTATTTGATCAAAAGTGCCAGTAAAACGTTTATAATGTTTTAGAAGATTTCTATTTCAAATAAATGCTGTTTAAAAAAAAAAAACTTTATATTAATTAAAGAATTCTGAAAAATAAAAAAAATATGAAGTGTTTTCAACATTGATAATAATAAATGTTTCTTGAGTAGCAAATCAGCATATTAGAATGATCTTGTGACACTGAAGACTGGAGTAATGACTTCTGTTACGGTTTAAAATATATTCAAATAGAAAACAGTTATTTGAAATATTTCACAATATTACAGTTCTTACTGTATTTTTTGAACAAATAAATTCAGCTACTTCAGAGACTACTTTAAAATATATGTTCTAATGTGTTGTATATGTTCTAAAACCAGATGTGATGTTTTTATTTGACTATATTCCATCCTATTTTTGTAACCTTACTGAGTTAATAAATTGTGTTTATTTACAAAATCATTTGTAAATGTATTACTATACATTGTAATTGTTATATATTTAAATTACTTCATGACCTCATGATACTAAATGAACATAAAATAAGCTAAATTGGATTTTAAAATTTGTAGGGACATAGTTAGTCATTTGATTCAACTCTAACACAAGCACTATTTCAGTGGAAATGAGGAATCAGTGTTTGGGATCTTTAGTTCAATAGCCATTGTAAGGAATTTCTATACACAAATAGTGCAATACTGAAGTTTTTTTTTTTTTTTTACCTGGGTGTAAAAATACTGTTATGTACACAGTCATCTGTGCTCAAGATGGCCTTTATTTTAAAGAAAACAACCTCCAATGTTGTAATAGTGTACTGTACACGTACAGAGAATGTTATAAAATATTCTCCTGCTGTGTCGGGCTGCTCTGGGGTGTGTTTCCCGTACGACATAACTCAATGCTTCACTACCATAGTAAGATGCATCGTTAAAGAAATCAACTAGCTAGTCACGACTGTTTCCCGAAACCATATTGTCGCAAAGTGGTCGTTCAACCACGTTGGTTTATGACGTCACGCACGTGGTGAAGTAATAATAACTTATTTTAATGAAACTGTTTGAGATCGAATCAATGCTAGATGTTTTGATATAAATTACAGACATGGTGTCTGAGGAATATTTCTATATTTTTCTCAGTTATTTCGCTTATTTACAGATTCAATCAGAGGCTCGTTCTTACTTTTGCACATGCGCAGTCTTCAAAAACGGTGCTTTAAATCTCTTGACAAACTCAAAGATGTAAATTACATTTTTATGTATTCTAAATAAAAGACACAGGTTGTACTGAATGTCAGCTTGCTTATTTTGCTCAAGATACGGATTTATTAAGTCCACATGTCATGGAATCTAGAAATTATGCTTCTAACCACAGGTCGAGAGGTTTCGGGAAACATCGACTCGTTGAACTATGCTGATAACGACGGAACTTGCGACCATAGTTGGCTAACGATGCTTTCGGGAAACGCACCCCTGATTGAGAAGCTCATAGAGCTTTGCACAGGGTTAACATTGCAATCATGATGGCTCAATGGTTGATGTCACAATTTAGTCATTTAGAAATCATTTAGTGCTGGAATATGGTACAGCTCAATATGGTACTGCTGCTGACTCTGCACACTAATTTAATGATGTATCGCCCGTGTCAATAAAAGTAAAATGTTTGCCCATGCAAAAACTCCCTACTGCAATGGTAAGGTATTTTGGGTGGTTGCCAAAGTTTTCTCGGTGCTTTACTGATGCTCAGTCACATGATTTGAAGTATCATTCGTGCCTAAAACACAAACAATGAGAGATGAGTTACACAATGAAGTTTTATTTAGGGTTTATTTAGGGTAATGGGTTTGCTCAAATCACTAACTGTAAGTATGAGCAATAGTAAAAGTGATGTTTACTTTTACAATCACACCCATCCCATTGTCTCCTTTTTGAAACAGTGCTGGAGAGTAGTGGCATATGCTGTAAGTGACACTGGCTGGCATGACATGACGTAGGTAATGAGAAAGAAAGAAAGAAAGAAAGAAAGAAAGAAAGAAAGAAAGAAAGAAAGAAAGAAAGAAAGAAAGAAAGAAAGAAAGAAAGAAAGAAAGAAAGAAAGAAAGAAAGAAAGAGAGGTAAATAAACTCAGTGTGACATAGTTCTCCTCATGATTGTGGCCAGAGCCGAACTCTCTGCTCTTAAAGGTTAACCACTATGAAACCCATGGCTCAAAGGTCTGTTATGGCAGACAGTTCCCAGACCACCGAACCCGATCCAACTGCCCACTCTCACAGTCCCTGTGGGCTCCTCACGATGAAAGAGCTCCAGGGCAGGAACAACAGTGATGCTTGTTGACGTATGCCTGCTTAAACAAGAGAGTCCTGAAGCCAAATGGGTATGGACTCTTGGGCAGTGAACTTTAGGTGACTGTTTGCGTCAAACAGTTTAGTCTGAGGGTCTGGTAATTATGCATAGATCAGGATGGCTTACTAGTTCTAGGGGTGGCTCGATACCACTTTTTCATGTCCGATACCGATACCACAAACTTGAGTATCTGCCGATACCGATACTGATACAATACCATACCATATTTTTCTCCCTCTTAATTAAGCTGTTAATAACACGTTTGTCAGGAGGATGCACTGTGATTAACCTAGCCATCTAAAAAGCATCATGCTCAAATAGTGCAATAAATGTTCTACTCCCCTAAAGGAAGAAATACGTAGCCCACAACATCTACTGCTGCTTAATTTTTATTAAAATAATTTTTAAACAGAACTTGTAGCAGCATTTTTAATTATTCAGCACCATTCAATTAATTAAATTTAAAGTCCAACTGTGCAAATAAAAAAATATATAATTCCAGTGCCAAATACTGGATGTAACACAAAACTCTATGTAGTCATAACTTAAATAAGTATAACCTACCATAAAAATAATGGTATCTCCATTATAAAATGTACAATAGAACAGAATAGTACAATAAGCCACTCACAAATTAAACTCTACTAGGCCATTACACCTAATAAAGGGGAAAAACATTTTGGGTAGACAGTCCAAGCTCTAAAGTTTTTCACATGTAACATCTGGGGATCATAGGTGTAATTTGAGGGTGCGACATGTCCCAGCCACTTTTTCTCAGGATCGATATTGCCCCCCACCACTTTTGAAACATTATGAGGCACAGATGTAATACAAATAAATAAAACATCTCCATTTAACAGAGCATTAATTAACATAGTTAGACCTAGCGCTAAAATGTGTTTGTTTTTTTAAATCAAGCTGAGCGCTCGTTGCCGCTGCTATCAGTTGCACGGATACAGTGTTCTCTTGTGGCGCGCGCACAATCTTCACTCGGACGCGCTCCAATCTATCGCCGTTGCGGAGACTCACAAAACAAAATGCACACTTTTTTAAAATAACTCCACACAGCTGACATGATAATTGCTGACAGGTCTCACCTTACTCGTTCTAGCTACTGTTCACGTGACGCCAGTGTTGCCAAGTCAGCGCTCCCTCTCACACCCCGAAACGCGATTGGCTACTTTTTAAAATGCAATTGGGCGGGTTTTGTTGTGAAAATCTGGCGACCCTGCGTGCAGCTGCAGCGTGATGCATGTTGCTCATCTCTCTTTACGGCATGTCTCTCAGGTGTTGTTAAGCATTTGTTTGACAGTTTAGGACTAGGTCCGTGGTCGTATCGGATCGGAATATACTCCCGCGATTCATACAATATCCGATCCAGTGATTTTGGCCAGTATCGGACTAATACCGATACCGAATATCGGATCGGCGCACCCCTAACTAGTTCAGGGTTTTTTTTTAATGCCAAAAATATTTTTATGCATAAAGGTTTATTTATACTGTGTGAGAAAAAAAGTGTGACTTTGTTTCCAAAATAAAAAAAATTGGCTCTATTGTAATTGTATTGAAGAAGAAAAAATCATTGAAAAATATTTATTTTGTATTAATTCTATAATTTTATACCCTCTAGAATTGTGTGGTTTTCTGTCTATTAGAGTAATATTAGATGTTGCAACCTGAGAAACATTTTCCAATGGAATGAGATTCCCTCCACGAAACTGAATGCAGATTTGATCTTTATTTTTTACTGTTAAAATTGAGGCTGCCCATGTAATAAAGTAATCATGATTATTCTCATGATTTCTGACCAGTCTTTAGCATCCTGCACCATGAACATGCTGAGACCTTGTTCCAGTCTTTAGTGCTATATCCAGCTATTTTTGAACACAAGAATGCATCCAACGTGAAACACATCTTAAATGTGTCTTGGGTATTACCCTAAATCAGAGTAATATACAGTGCTTCCTTAATGCAGATTAGTTGTTCAGACAACTTACCCTCTAGTTAATTTTTTAAGTATGTAGCTTTAAACATCTCTTGTCTGAATTTCTTGAAGATAAATGGAAGTGCCCGAAGCTCATTGTGATGGTCTACATTAGTTTATTTGCTTTAGCCTTGCCTCACTGTATTGACTAGTCACACTGACATTATTTTCTTTTTCCGTTCTTAGAAACAGAAGCCCATCAGCATCCAGGGACCCAAACGCGGCATATAACCAAAGGGAGGGGGAAGGAGGATTGCAGTATGCCCCGGCTGAAGGTGGCATGCCTCGCTCTCCGTCCGACTACGGACGTGACCCTGGCCGTTCGCCAAGGAGTTCAAGAATGTACAACGAGGTGGGAGATTATCGAGACAGTCGAGGACGCTGGCACTCGCAAGGCCAGCGTTTGGACGGCCAGTTAGACGACTATGAACTCCAGAGGCGCCGTGAGGAGGAATACCAGGCCCGTTACCGCAGTGACCCCAACCTGGCACGCTACCCGGTCAAACCCCAGCCCTACGAGGAGCAGATGCGCATCCACGCCCAGGTGTCACGGGCTCGGCATGAGCGGCGCCATAGCGACGTCTCACTTGCTTATACAGAACTTGACGAGCCTCTGCATGGCCCCGGTCTGCGGAAGTCGCGCCTCCCTCTATTGGGAGGTCCAAGTCAACTCTCATACTCTGAGGACAGGAGCTCACCGGGACATCGGATGTCGAATCATAGCCCACCAACACCACACCGCAGCCCTGTGCTGGGTGAAAGCCGGCGAGGACTGGCGGAGCCAACAAGGAAACCCATACCCCAACAGCACCACTTGGACCCTAGCTCAGCTATGCGCAGGAACAATCGGGACAAAATGGATAGCATGCTGCGAAATGACTCCCTAAGCTCAGACCAATCCGAATCGGTTCGGCCTCCTCCACCTCGACCCAACCGAAGCAAACGCCTTGGCAAGCTCAGAACCATGGGCAGCTTCAGCAGCTCAGAGGAGGAGTTGGCCACCACACCAGAGTACACCAGCTGTGAGGATGTGGAGCTGGAAAGTGAGTCCATCAGTGAAAAAGGTAAACGCTGCTGGCTGAAAATGAAAATGAAATAATTTCATTGTTGACTAAGAACATTTGAAGTGTTTCAGTGAAAAAAGTAATCTCAGATGTGACTCCTGTTATGTCAGTTGCCTAGAAAGAGCTGTACCTTCATGGTGCTCCAGAGCTGATGGTGGCAGCAGAGAGTTTAATGATGTTGTATAGATTGTTTAGGGAGACAAATAAAAGCTAGTGAAACAAAGGCTGCATCCGAAATCGCATACTTTCCTCTATATAGTAGGCGAAAAATAAAAAAGATGTTCGAATTCACAGCACTCATAAAAGAGTCGGCAAAAAGTACCCAGATTATCTATTTCTTCCGGCGAGATTCTACAGTGTGCATACGATGGACACTTTACTATCCCATGAAGCCACGGGAGAGGATTCATGAATAGTGGAGAAGCAACTTAACTGATGCTGGTAGTCACATAATAATGGCAACATGGTGAATGTAGTAGGCCTATGTCCTGATTACATTCATACTACACACACTGATACTATATAGAACATACCTTTTTAGCGGTTGTAGATTACTTATTCTAAATAAGAACCTATTCAAGAGAGTATGCGATTTCGGACAGCCATAGCCTGCGTCTAAAAGCTGAAAAATGATGCCTTCCCAAGCGTAGGAAGGAAACAAGGCAATCCCGAATCCAATGATTCTGCCACATTCTGTCTGCTGCGATACCTTCATCCAATGGATTTTTGAAGGCAGCATAGATGTATTCTTTGTTGCCCATATACCATCCTGTGCTGAAAGTTGTGGTTGGTGGTCAGTTTGTGTGTAAATTAAGGTTTTTGAATGAGTTTTTCAACTTTTGATTTCCTTTTCTAGTGCGAAATTAGTATTATAGTAATTAAATATGTGCTTAGTTATCACCAAAGCTTCCTCTGTTTTGTTGTAGATGATTAGACTGTTATGCTTCCTCAGAAGTCCTGTCTGAAGTCAGTTTTGTGAGATACCTTTGTGTGCAAACACTGCTGTGAAGTCATTGCCTGATAGTAGAGGCAACAAGTCAGCTGCCTAAGCTTTTGGACGTATCCATAAACATGCAATTACTTAGGGCACCTTAAAGGAATCAACAGTCAGATGAATTGTGTGGTTTGGCATCCTAGATCTTAAAATATTTTGGTTACATTTTGGTTCTACTCGGTTCTCCTTCTTCAATGAAAGTCAGTTTTGCCTGATGAATGGTTGATGAATCTTTGCAAGGTTTTTTTCTTTCTTTTTTTTTTCAGTTGTGCTTGATGCAATTGCAATTGTAGAATTAAAGGGATAGTTCACCCAAAAATGAAAATTCTGTCACCATTTACTCACCCATCAAGTTCTTCTTAACCTGTATGAGTTTCTTGGAATGTTGGTAAACAAACGGTGCTTTTTTCATACTATGGAAATCAATGGGGACCAGCAATGGCTTGGTTACCACCAACATTCTTCAAAATATCTTTTTTTGTGTTCAACAGAAGAAAGAAACTCATATAGGTTTAGAACAACTTGAGGGCGAGTAAATGATGACATAATTTTCATTTTTGGGTGAACTGTCCCTTTAAAAAGGTTGTTAAAAGCAAAATGTCATGCTTAATGCATTTTTTATTTAATGAACAATAATTAAACCTTTAATACTGTATGGCTATACCATAACAGACTTTGAGAGACTATCAATGGGTGTGTGATTGTGAATGTGATGTTTTGTAACGGTTAGTGATGTTCATTTAATTTTTTCCCCCTAACCGGCAACCGAAGCTTGTTAAGCCGATCATTAACCGTTAACCGACAAGATTATGTTAAATTAGAATTAAATTAAACTAGAATAAATAAGTGTCTGTTACCAATTAAAAATAACAGAATCTGTTTTCCAGGGGTTCAGTTTTACATGCGCAAATATTCACTATATACATCTGCAGCTCTTCAGTGAACGGAGAAAAAACAAATAAAATTATATATATAAAAGAAATAAATACGCAAAATGTTTCACTAAAATCATTAGAGAGAAAAAAAAAAAAAAAAAAAAATGTGCAAGTAGTAGGCTATATGGTGCTAAACATTTTCATGCAAAATAAACCGTGACGGCAGAATGCGGCATCCTGTTCCCTTTCAAGGGAACTTCGAGCTGCGTCAAACGCTGTGGGAACGCCCCTGCGTTGTGCGTCATGAAGCACGTATGGAATCAGCCCAATGGAGAGACGGAACGTCATAGGCGGGTGACGTCATCGACCAGGAAACTATAAAGCACCCCAAAAACACAAGCGCATCAGCTTCTGTGCCTTCAGTCGCGCTATATGTGAATCTGTCTGAATGTAAACACTGTGTCTGTCTTTAGTATTTGCTAGGCAGGAGTTATCACATTTACACCACACAAACAATTTTGTATGAGAGACTATGGCGAGCGAACGGCATTTAAGAAGTGTGTTCCTCCCTGCTCGCGCTATCTAACGGGCGGGGATACACACGTTCTTTGTGTTGTTTGTTTGGGAGTGCATTATGCCCAGTCAGCTCTCGAGGGGGCTGGCTGCGAGCATTGCGAGCGTCTGCCTTTATGGACGCTCCGCTCCCGCCGGGCGCTCTTTGAGGAGAGTGCTCGGTGCGCGCTCCCCGCGGTTCGAGTCCCGCTTCTGCCGAGGCTGAGCGGCGACGCTTATCGTGGGGATCGCAAATGGATCTTTCAGCGGGGTTAGAGACGGGCTCTGCCTTATCTCTGCCTTTACCTGTTAGATCCAGTGTCTCAGCCCGGTTTGGAAGCACGCTCTGCGGTTTCTTCCGCCCGGGCTGAGGCACCAGTACTGCAACTATCTAACGTTAGTTATAAAAACTAGGAGATAAAAATAGCAGTATTGACGAGGGAGATGTGGAGGACTCGCCACCTAACACTCCCGAAAGCGAAGAGCTCAAGGAGGTTCTCACTCGAGCTGTATCAAAACTAAGCATTGAGTGGCCAGTGGCTAGGCAGGAGTCTGTTATTAAATCTAAGTTAGGTGAAAGATTTCTCCCTTCCCGTGTGCAACCTCCATGCCGGTGCTTGCCGTTTTTTCATGATCTCCATACTGAGGTGTCGAGATTATGGAAGAAGCAGGCTTCTGATATAATTTTAGCCCCCAATCATTCACATATTCAGATTTAGCGGGGGCTAGGTTTTTGAAAAGGAAAGACGGCGCTTTGCCGCGGGTAGAAGAGACGCTTGCGAGCTATCTCTCTTCCGAGGCTGCATTGTCATTCAAAGCACCGGCATTACCTTCCAAGCCATTATGAAATATTTCGGCTTTGTAAAGTGTATTTGGCGGCAGGTCAGGCTGCGTCGTGTCTGCATACAATGTCTATATTGCAGGCATACCAGGCTGATTTGCTAAAGGACGTGAGCGTGAGTGAGGAGGCAGTACTGACGTGGTTCGAGGACTGCGTCAGGCTGCCGATTTGTGGTAAAATTATTTTTTTCCAACATGAAACAGAAAGAGAAAGCTTTCTTTTAGATGATCCTCTCTCCCCTGCGGGTTTATTCAGTGACTTAGTTAATACTGTCATTGATAATTTCAGGAAGAAAAGAAGCAGGCAGCAGCTTTTAAAAGGTTTCTTCCATTAAAAGTTCACGTCCACGGGGCTGCTGGGCGGGAGCAGCCCCGGCCGTTCACGAGCTCATCGCATAGGCGCAGCAAAGCAGAGTATCGCGTCTCGCGCTCCCCCTGCTGGACAGTGGGACCAGACGCGGCACTCTCAGCCAAAGCTTTTTGAAAAATAAATATAATATAATATATATATAAAATATATATATATAATAAAAAAAAAAAAAAAGCAATAGAACTGGTTTGAGGACAGTTATATTGGCTATGCTGAGGGCGGTCCCCACCGAAGGAGAAAGGTGTTCACCTCTTTTTACGGTGCCCATTCTTCCTCGGTGCCCTCAGGGGCCCGTTCTGCCAACCCCGCCTTCATGCCGGGGCGCAGACGGTCCTGGCGAGCGCTTTCCCGAGGGACGCTCGCCGCCTCTGACACTGAGGGTGGTCCCCATCGAGGGAGAAAGGTGTTCACCTCTTTTTACGGTGCCCATTCTTCCTCGGTGCCCTCAGGGGCCCGTTCTGCCAACCCCGCCTTCATGCCGGGGCGCAGACGGTCCTGGCGAGCGCTTTCCCGAGGGACGCTCGCTGCCTCTGACACTGAGGGTGGTCCCCATCGAGGGAGAAAGGTGTTCACCTCTTTTTACGGTGCCCATTCTTCCTCGGTGCCCTCAGGGGCCCGTTCTGCCAACCCCGCCTTCATGCCGGGGCGTAGACGGTCCCAGCGAGTGCTTTCCCGAGGGACGCTCGCTCCCTCTGAGGAGGGTCTCAGAGCGGTCAAACCAGTTGTTCCCTGCCGGTGCGCCGTTACAGGGCGCTGTGTTTGCTGCTCAAATTACACCAGAGACCAGTCTCGAGAGACTGGTACCCTTAGTAGAATTTGTTTGGCAGAGTGGAAAAGCCTTCCAATAATATCTCAGTGGGTCCTGCAGACAGTAGTAAGACGTTATGCGATCCAATTTAGGTGTCGTCCACCGAAACTCAGAGGGGTTCTGCCCATAGTGTGGGCCCCGAGCAGGCTCTGGTAATGGAACAAGAGGTGAAAATGCTCCTTCAAAAGGGGGCTATAGAACGGGTTCCTCCTCCCAGTTTGGAGCTAGGTTATTACAACCGATATTTCATCGTTCCAAAGTAGGATGGGGGGTTGCGTCCAATTTTAGATTTGCGCCTATAAAATCGCTCGGTAGGGAAGCTCAATTCAGATGCTCACTATCAAGCAGGTCGTGTCACAAATCAGGTCCGAGGGCTGGTTTGTCACGATAGATCTAAAGGACGCTTACTTCCACATTTCCGTACTTCCACAACACAGGAAGTTCCTGAGGTTTGCCTTCGGGGGCGAGGCATTCCAATATAGGGTTCTTCCGTTCGGTCTAGCTATCTCCCCGTACTTTATGGAGCAGATGGCGGTTCGACATCGAGATGTCGTCTTCGCG